GAGGAGATGCTTGGAGTTAGGACTGGGAGAAGGTGAATCATCGGTGTAGGCAGCTGTTCTGACTTTTTGCAACTACTGTCAAACCAATAATCTGTCAAGGCTCGGCAAATACTTTGTATTTCCTAAAGCTGCCAGGGGCTGCATCATTCCTCTGTTGAGGCGGAGCAGGTAGCGTCTATAGACACTGTACATCATTATACTGCCTTGGATACATGGGGGTTGGCATGGCAACAATAGATTTAGAGTATAGAGGGATGGTTGCTCCCTGTGGGACATCATGTTACAAATTACTTTTGTACTCAGAAAAATGGGAATTTCCAAATATACAGCAACACCGTGACAGGGTGAGTCAAAATAAAATATGTGTGATTACATGTTAATGTTCTGGTTTACCGATGCTAGCTAGGCTTCATAGTCAGTTCAGCTATTCTTCCTTTCTTTGTCTTTTAGTGCCGGTTGTTGTTGAGTTCATCAGAAGCGACTCTCCAACTCTTAAAGGAAAATGTTTTTTTTTACCTTATTTTTAAATGTGATCTGTCTCTGAGTGTTTGATGCAGGCTGAACATGAGAATAGTCTCCTACACCTGTCTCCTGCAGTAGCTTCTGATAGAAAACAGACGGTGAGACTCTAGGATTAGAAAATCCCGACAGATCTACGTCACCCTGTCACTTAAAGAGCAAAAAGCAGGTAACATTTTTTTAATTAATATAAAATTTTGTCCAAACAGACTATTAGAAAAGCTTGTCGTGGATATTTGGTTTTGGATCCATAAAAGCAGTTTTCTAGTAAAAAGTTCCTTTCTCTTATTTCTAACTCTGAACCTCCGACGTAACCAAAGGGAGTCCGAAGCTCGGCTGCCTCAGCTCAGTGTGGAGAGTGGCTGGTTTTAGGGTAGAGAGGTCATGTGACCCAGTCAGTGTGTGTTCACCAGTGTTGGGTTGTGTTCATGGTGATAAACTAGAGTGTGTGAAGGCTGTACCAACTCCAGCATGTCTGGACCTCGAGTCCACGGGTTTCCAGACAAGAGAAACAACCCCTCTATCTCTGTGTCTGAGGGTGTTTCTGCAGCTGAAAGACATACTTCTGTAGCCCACAT